CTATTGAAAAAACCCTCAGGAGTGAACAGTACAAGAGAATTTTAGAGTCTTGTCTGCTCCCTTCTGCTGAAAGGGTGCAAATCGACCACACCAAGCTCATTTTTATGCAGGATAATGCTCCCTATCAAAAATCAAAATTGATGAAGGAATACTTTAATGAGAAGCCGGTGAATGTTATGACATGGCCGCCCCAATCTCCTGACCTCAACCCCATAGAAAACTTATGGAGCATTATAATGTACAGGCTCTCGAGAAAGCAGTTGAGCAACAAAGAGGATTTGATTGTGAATTTCATATCCGAATGGAATTCAATGCTTGGAGATGAGATTTGCCAAAACCTAATCAAGTCAATGCCAAAAAGGCTTAGCCAGGGCCAGCAATACAAACGCTAATTTAATATCTCGTGTATGATGCGACCCCCCCTTAAAATTAGGTCTTCAAATATCGCATGATATGCGATTATATACGGTAATTCAAATTTCCCGGGATACATAATAAGAAAAGCGGGCTTGGAGAATTTGACACACCCGAGGCATATTAAAGGCAAGAGGACTAGAGGCAAAGCTTGGGTAATCTAATAAGCTTGTGCAAATGGATTGTATAGCTGAGATTAGGAAGGATAGCAAAAAGATAAGCATTGCCAAGAATAGGATGTTTTGGAGAGCCGTGATTACCCACGCCCTAAAAGTATACGTGACATAGAAGAAGGAATATTATAAGAGAATCATTTACTCTCTAAGAAAATTGCGCCAAATAATCAGAAAGTGTTTTCTGACTGCAGCACTCGATATCCCCCCAAAAAAAAATACCCCACCCTTAAAAAATCTGTATACTTCAGATGCCAATAAATGTTGTTTTGCTTTAATTACACACTCCCACTGAACATCATTTTCTCGCCTTAAGAAATACTTCCTTCAGTTTAGGTCAAGTCACACTCATCCTGTTTCTTTCAACGTGCACGAACTTAGCTTAACCTCTTATTACGTCAAGAAGGCCAACCTTAATTTTTCAAGGAGAGGTCTTGTCAAATGCGAATTAGTGCAGTTCTCGGCTTAATATTAATTCTAATATATCCAAATAAAACTTACAATAATAATAACTATTATTTTATTTCCTTTGATTTCTGGTGTGTACACATTTCGTTCCGAGTCCCGCCCAGAGACCTAAGGTTAGAAATGGCATCATGACATTTTCCACTGACAAAAAAAAAATATTTTACATAGATAAAGCCCTTTGTAAGGTGTGAACTGTACTCGTGAGAACAATTTTTTTTGTATTTCTTTAAGACATGGGCTTCCAGGAATCCCTTCAATTAGTCTACTGGAATCTTTTCCAACCAATCCGAGGGCTCCAACTACAACAGGGATTGTTGATGTTCCCATTATTTATTATTATTATTATTTCCTTTGATTTCTGATGTATACTCATTTCTTTCCGGGTGCCAGAAACGTCAGAAATGGCATCATGACATTTTCACTGAACATTTTTGTAAAAATAATAAAAATAAAACCAACGACCCCCCCCCCAAAAAAAGACCCCACACATTTTACATTGATAAAGCCCTTCGTAATGTGCGAGCTCTACTTGTGAGTACACTTTTTTGTTTTTCTTGAATGCATTCGCCATCAGGGATCCCTTCAATGAGTCTATCGAAACCTTTTTCCAATCAAATTATTATTATTATTTCCTTTGATTTCTGGTGTGTACTCATTTCTCTACGGGTCCCGCCCAGAGTCCTGAGGTCAGAAATGTCGTCATGATATTTTCCACTGAGCAATTAAATAAAAAAAAAACACACAGATATTTTACATAGATAAAGCCTTCGTAATGTGTGGGCTGTACTCATTAGAACAATTTTTTGTATTTCTTTAAGGTATGTGCTGCCAGGAATCTTATAAGTAAACGGCCAATTTTATCATTATTATTAGAGATGAGGAGGACAGATACTACACTTCGCCTTTACTCGCCCCCCTCCCCCTGGTTGGTGACGCGATATGGCACAAGGCCAGTTTAAATTAGTGATCCCATGCATGTATATGGGCCAAGTCCAAAAATTGCCCGGTCCCCGCAGCTAACCTCGTGATTTGGTGCAATGAGAGTGGTACTGACGCAGGTTTGGAATCTCCGGGACCAAGAAACCCCATTTATTTTTTTTGTTTAAGTGAGTGATATAAATTTAGTTTATCCACCCTAAGGCAAATACTACACTTTGATCGCAGCCTGATAGACAAGGAGTAAAGAGAAGCGTCGCTCTAGTAGCACTGACTGACTGAATACCTAATGATTCCTCTTTTTTTTTTCTGAATCATTTCACCCCAAGCAAGACAATAAAGCCACTAAGACATAAGGCGTTGGGGTGGTTACTGAAGAGAAAAAATAATGACTAGAACAGGATTCAATGAGGTGGAAGAGGATTGACGACACTTCCATTCAGTCATTAAATTCCATACGTCAAACACGTTTGAGCAATCACGTCTCTTTCGATTCATGACTGATTGGGTGTAAAGAAACTCGTTATTTAAAATTGTTAATGACATTATCAATTATTGGTCAATTTTCATAAAACATGTTTTATTTTGAACAGTAAAATGGCGGAAGTGGTGTAGAGTGTTCCAATTCTACATAGGCTCCAGTGTTGTCCACCAGTGTTTGTAATCGTTGTCTGGGTGTATCCTCGACAGACTTCCAATCTGAACGTTAAAGGATGACCTCTTCTGTAGGTATCTACCACAAATCCCACACTCATCAGCTTGGAATGACAATTTCTGATTTTTTTTTTTTCTTGGCATCTATTGAAGCGGGAGGCAGAGTGGCGTAATGGACAGCGGCTCGGATTGAGCAAAATCAGAGACTCTCGTCGGATCCATTACATTCACTTACGTGCTAATATCCTTGGGAAAGGCATGAATCCTTCCTCCCACCCCACCCCACACACACACCAGTAAAATAGTCATGGGTGGCAACACATCTAGAAGAAGGAAAACTTCCAACCGAGAATCTGGACAGGGTTGGACTCTGTCAGGCTATCTTGCCCAAGAAACACCACTTCTACTACATATATGTAGTTCCCCCTGCTGATGAGTCACGGGATACACGATTGCGCGAAGCACAAGGTCTATGAATACTGCGCCACCATCTGGGTACTTATACCGCGAACTTCCATACTTCGTAACGGAGATGATGGCTGAGCGCGCTCATGCAGTTTCAGGTGCTGTGACATTCTAGTCTACACTTGTGATTCTGCAACAAATCACAGAAATCAGAAATGAAATTCTACCACTTTAGGAATCACAATATTTTTTTAGGAATCCGTCATTATTTGAAAATCTCATCGAAGAGAAAAACAGAATGATTAACAAAAGTAAGACTTGTATGAAGTTGTTAAAAATGTATTTTAAATACAATAAACTCTTGGTTTTACGGACATTATGACAGAGCTGGTAAAATATTAAATTTTATTTTATTTTTATGCATTGCTAAATAATAAATTAATAATAAAATAAATTTCTACAGAGTGGTTGGAAGGAAACTCCCTATTTAAAATTATTAATAACTTTATCAATTCAGTTATGTGCCATGCGTGATACACACTTAGGCGATCATGTATCTTTCGATACATTACTGACAAGGCAGATTTTTCCCCCGCAGTAGGTTGCTCTTTCTTTCTGCGGTAGACCAGTTGCCAAGGCTATAGAACCCAGTCTGTCCTGCTATTTACCCGTATCTGGCGGGGGGGGAGAAGAGGATTGATGCCTTTTCCCAAGAGGATAAGCACATGTAATGGATTCGACTGGAATTCGAACTCGGCTCTCCGATCCATCAGTCGCTATCCAGTATTCAGTATTGGTCGATTTTCATATTTTATTTGAACCGCATAATGGTTGAAGTATCGAACAGAATATCTGTACATTTTGTACATCTTCTTTCATTCAAGATGTTCAAGCACGACCACTTCTGTGTGTCTCTACCATAGATCATGTCCTTATCAGCTAAGAATGACAATTTCTGATGGTTTTTGGCGTCTGCACTTATTACCACCGACTGCCACACTTCGTAATGGGGATGCTAGCTGAGGGTGCTCATGCAGTTTCAAGCGCTGTGCCATTCTGGCCTACACTTGTCATTCTGAAATCAAAACAGAAATTTGCAATGAAATTCTACCACTTTAGGGACCACAACATATTTTTCCATGCAAATGTGGTGATATTAACAAGCAATTTTCAATAGGGAGTTTATTTCCACCAAACCTGTACAAAAAAACAAGGGTATATAATAAGTCTTTAATATTATTATGTTTTCTCATGTGCATTTTAAATGTATATATTTTTTACAATGAAATTAATTTTGTACAAGGCCCAATAGCACTCGAGTTAGAGCGTTACAGTGTAAGAGGCATCAGTATATATGGGGAAGATACCGGTTAACCCTAGACTTGAACAGGTTAAGCTTTGTAGTGATAAGGGAATAATTCTCTTGGGAACTGGTTCCACTGATCAGTGGTTCATGTGAAGAAGCTGCTCAAGTGTAAGTTAGGTCTCATAAATGGAATACGAAGGGAAGGAAGCTGGTTCGCTACAATGTGCATGGCATGGTGAATCTTAGCCGTGCAGATTAGAAATGGTGGAACTAAGGTATGTCGTTCGTCTGAAAACTTTCCATGGAAATAGTGATAAAGCAGCGGAAGACTTGCGACATTTCATCTGTGAGAAAAGGGATTGTAGGTTGGAAAATAATGCAGTTTCAGGTGCTGTGCCATTCTGGCCTACACTTGTCATTCTGAAATCAAAACAGAAATTCTACCACTTTAAGGATCACAATATATTTTTTCCATACAAATGTGGTGATATTAACAAAAGTGATAAGTAATTTTCAATAGGGAGTTTCTTTTATCCCACCCTGTATATATAGTTCAGGGTGAAACCGCGCCCCAAATGTAATAAAATGAAAGCGAAGTTGGTTTATATTTTATCTCACCGATTTATTTATTTCTTTATTTTTAGTTGCATCCTAGTGATGAGGAAAATGATTATATTCTTCAGAGTCGACGAGAGAAGAACCGAAAAGCAGCCCAAAAATGCCGAGAAAAGAAGAAAGAAAAAATAAGAATTCTGGAAAATGTAAGAATTTAATTTATTTTATGAAACGATTTGATGAAAAACCGGGGAAGTGCTTAAATTGAGTGGTCCGCACGTAAAAAAAAATGGGAAATTTTAACAGGAAATAATTTGGGGGATTAGCAGACCTTCTTCTGCTTTTTCTTTATCATTTTAAAAATGGCGTCCTAGTCATAATATAAATACTGGCAAACGTTCTCGGATGACATGAATTGGTAACACTATATTGAATCCATTGCTTGGTCAGCTGCTAAGAAAGTTGGTTGACTGTGTCGCGCGAAACAATCGTTCTAGGAATATTCGCCGTAAACATTTTTGCCGTTGGAAAACTCGCCTCAGAAATTTTCGCCGTATAAAACTTTGCCGTATAGGTTTTTTCCGTAAGACAATTTTGCTCATTTTTTTTAATAACATGCGAAGTAGCTTGTTATTAAGTATATCTGGCTCACACTATTTTTACTTCAATTTAAACGTTTTAATAAAGGAAGTTATAGGATCAAAATCTTACATCATTCTTACATCGTCAGTGAGGAGTGCAAAAATTTCAACTTTTAGATTCAGTACAAATGAAGAAAATATATGTTGATTTTAATTCAAGACTTCAGCGAAAAATGCTTCATTATTGTCCAACGGAAGAAAAAACTCGTTTTTTACGAAGCATTGCTTGGAATTTGCACACATTTTAAATTATTTCTTTGTTAATTTTCTTAATCGGCCTGGAGAAACGATCCCAGCGTGCAGCAACTTTGGAAAAGACCTGAAAAATTAAACCACGGGTTGACCTAAGACTTGTCAATGAAATTGTGCAACTGAAATTGTTTGTCGATGTTTAGGCTAACATGAAATCATAAGTCATCGTGACCAAGGGTTTCAGCGTATTGGCCTTATTCCAAATGCTGATAAAGTTACATTATTGGCTTTCACCGACGCAATATGGTGACAGGCTGTGGTATATGCAGAGCATAACTTTTCAGACCGAACCCATTTATAAATGTCTTCAGGCCAGGAAGGCCAGTCCCTTAAGGTGGTGTCAAATTAGAGTGTCCCTAAGTATTTTAGATCTAACTCAGAAGTCACTTTCACTGACTCATCTATAAAACTTTTAAAAAAACACACCCAACACCCGGTACACCGCAACTATCCTTGCTCGTGAAGAGAGAGGAACATTAATATTATTTTCTTTGATTTCTGGCATTTACACATTTCTTTCCGGGTCCCGCCCAGGGACCTAAGCTTAGAAATGGCATCATGACATTTTCCACTGAAAAAAAAAATTACATAGATAAAGCCCTTCGTAAAGTGTGGGCTGTACTTGTCAGAACAATTTTTTGTATCTCCTTGAGGCATGGACTTCCAGGAATCCCTTCAATTAGTCTACTGCAATCTTTTCCAACCAGTCCTAGGGCTCCAACTACAACAGGGATTGTTGATGTTCCTATATGCCACATTTTCGAGATTTCTATTTCAAGGTCCTTGTATTTTGACAGCTTTTTGAATATCTTCAAAGATACATTGCAGTCAGCAGGGACTGCCATATCAATAAGAAGGCACCGTTTTTGTTTGTGGATTATTATTATTATTATTATTTTTATTATTATTATTATTTCCTTGGATTTGCTGTATACACATTTCTTTCCAGGTCTCTACCAGAGACCTAAGGTCAGAAATGACTTCATGAGATCTTCCACTGATCATTTTTGTAACACCCACAAAACCCTTGCTCGTGAAGAAAGAGGAACATTATTATTATTATTATTATTATTAATATTATTATTATTATTATTATTATCATCATCATCATCACACACAGTTTACATAGATAAAGATCTTCGTAATATGTGAGATGTACTTGTGAGTACAATTTATTTGTATTTCTTTAAGGCATGGGCTACCAAGAATCTCGTCAATGAGTCTATCGGAACATTTTCCAATAAATCCAAGAACTAGAACGGGAGTTATTGATGTCCTCATGTGTCACATTTTTTAGATTTCCAGTTCAAGATCCTTATATTTTGATAAGTATTCTGAAGATCTTCAAAGATAAATTAAACTCTGCAGCACATTCAGTTTTTTGTAGTCTTTCATCACAATGTTTGGGCGTTAAGCTTTTATTGTTCTGTCTTTGTATACTCAATAGTACCATAAAAATATTACAGATCCTATCTCTGTAACTGGATCTGGGTGGTGTTCATACCAGTTTCTTGCAGTTTCCTTCCTGTAAAAGTGGCGTATTTTCCAATGCAGATATTGGCCCACTCTGTCATGCTGTGTTTTATATTCAGTTGGTACTAGCACTGTATAACCTGATACAAAATGGTCAATTGTTTCAGGATATTTATCACAGAATTTGCATTTCCGGTTAACACAATTGTTCAGTATATGTCTTTTGTAATTTATAGTTAGCAAGCATCGGTCCTGTGCAGCAAGAATAAAACCTTCGGTTTCAGCTTTCAACCCTGCACTACGTAGCCACAGATGGGTACGGGTTTTGTCTACATCAGCTTGTTTGGTATGGGCAGAGTATTGACCACGAAGAGGCTTATCTTGCCATCGTTTTTGCATTTGATACATCGCATTTGCTTTTGCTTTTGTTTTTAGGTTATTTGCCACTGCGGTTGGTGTATTATGGTTTATTTGCCCTTCTCCACCCATTTGAAATTTCCTTGTGAATTTGTTGGCTTTCATTTTCTTCTTCTTCTTCTTCTTCTTCTTCTTCTTCTTCTTCTTCGTCGTCGTCGTCGTCGCTGTCGTATTCTTCATTTCCATCTTCGTCGTCGTCTTTCTGTGTGAATTATGAAGTTCCATAAAATCATTACAGTTCCTATCTCCGTATCCGGGTCTGGGTGGTGTTCATACCATTTTCTTTCAGTTTCCATAAAATAGTTATAGATTCCATGTTTGTAACCAGTAGTGTACATAGCAATTTATAAGAATAATAATAATTATTATTATTATTATTTATTTATTTATTTTCTTTGATTTCTGATGTGTACTTATTTCTTTCTGGATCCCAACCTGAGATCTAAGGTCAGAAATGACATCATGACATTTTCCACTGAGCATTTTGTGAGGAAAAACACACAAATAAATAAAATAATTATTTTTTTAAGATTTTCAAATATACATTACAGTCTACAAGGAATGCTATGTCAATAAGAAAGCACATTTTTTTTTTGCAGTCTCTGATCACAATGTCTGGGCTATTGTTTTTGATAGTTTTTTTTATGTGTGGATTATAAAGTCCCATAAAATCGTTACAGTTCCTATCTCCGTAACCGGATCTGGATGATGTTCATACCAGTTTCTTGCAGTTTCTATCCCGTAAAAGTTGCATATTTTCCTACTGCAGATATTGGCCAACTCTGTCATGTCGAATTTTATATTCAGTGGGTAAAAAAAGCGCCGTGCAAACTGATACAAGATGGTCATTTGTTTCTAGATATTTATCACAGAATCTGCAATTCGGGTTAAACAATTTTTTCAGTATGTGTGCTTGGTAATTTCTAGTCAGCAAGCACTGGTCCTGTGCAGCAAGAATAAAACTTTCGGTTTCAGCTTTCAACCCTGCACTACACAGCCATTGATGGGTACGGGTTTTGTCTACATCAGTTTGTTTGATACGGGCAGAGTTTTAACCACGAAGAGCACTATCTTGCCATCGTTTCTGCATTTCGTACATTACTTTTGCTTTTGCTTTCTTTTTTTGCTTTCTTTGCCGCTGCACTAGATGTATTATGATTTATTTGCAACTTTTCACCCAATTGAAATTCCCTTTTCAATTTGTTGGTTTCCTTTATTACTGAATATTATTAATATTATTATTATTATTATTATTATTGTTGTTGTTGTTGTTGTTTGTTGTTGTAATTATTATTATTATTTTCTTTGATTTCTGGCGTTTACACATTTCTTTCCGGGTCACGCCCAGGGACCTAAGGTTAGAAATGGCATCATGACATTTCACTGAACAATTTAAAAAAAAAAAAAAAAAAAAACACAAACATATTTTACATAGATAAAGCCCTTCATAAGGTGTGGGCTGTTCTCGTGAGAACAATTTTTTTATTTCTTTAAGGTATGTGCTGCCAGGAATCCCTTCAATGAGTCTATTGGATTTTTTTCCAATAAACCGAGGGCTCCAACTACAACAGGGATTGTTGATATTCCCATGTGCCACATTTTTGAGATTTCGATTCCAATGTCTTTGTATCTTAATAGCTTTTTGAAGATCTTCAAAGATACATTGCAGTCTACAGAGACTGCCATATCAATAAGGAGGCTCTATTTTTCTTTGCGGTCTTTAATAACTATGTCTGGGTGGTATTATTATTATAATCATTATTATTATTATTAAGCATATGTTAATATAGAAGAATTTGAAACAGAGAGAATTGGGAAGAGTAAATTATGTTCGGTCGATCTTTGAACTGGAGAGGGTAATGTGGATCTTTAAACTGGGGAGGGCCAATGATGCTTTAGATACAGCTATCGATTCGGTGTTGACGCTCCACTTCATATCAGTGGAAAAAATGAGACCAAGAAGGAACAGTATGTTGTTCTCCGGAAGTCTAACGTCAGCCGTGCTGATGGCAGACAGAAAAGATTCTTTGTGATGGTTAAATGAAAGTTTTGTTTTGGAAATTACATGTCATTTCTGGTCTCAGTTAACCACTGAATAGAGGTTCATTTCAAGACCAGCTGCCAATCTCTGGGTTTTATCAAAATCTCTAGGTTTTGCTATTGAGACTGGAGTCTTATTTAATAGTAATAGCGAATATTTCCAAAGTGTTCACCTCTGGTTTCTGTTACTTTGTATAATTCGATATTTTATTTTATTTTTTTACAGACTGTCAAAGACCTTAACAACGATATTCGAATTCTTAAGTGTCGAAATACCAAATTGGAAGAGGAAAAAGAACGCCTGGAATATCTCTTGAAACTCCACAATCGTTGCTGTCCTCTCAAAGTCGAAAACGAATTTGTAGACGTTTATCCCGCGGAGGAACAGTTCAATCCCGGCGAAGAGCAGGTCCCCAGAACATCTCACCAGGTTTACAGAGACCAGTCAATCATTCCACCAGGTTATTTATATCAGACGGAGACTTACCACGCTCAGTGATTGATTCTGATATTTTTCATCACCTATCAATTTCTTTATGATGTCTCTTATTGCTATAAAAGACGTCCCTGTTAGTTTCATTTGTAGAATGTAGACCTTGTCATGGATTCTCTTATTGGTCGATCCATCCAAATTTCTTTGTGTTCAGTCTAAAAACAACCAAGACACTACCAATGTCTTCGCATATTTTATCTAGTACCTACTGTTCAATCTTGCTTCCAAGATTCTCTTGATGTTCTTTCATTTTGCGAAATCGCATTCCAACTTATTTGTAACTGTCATTCATGCTTAATATGTTCATATTTTAACCAGCAGTTCAGTTCCTTTTATTGCCACAGGTTTTCCATTAAACGTCATTAACAATGCACATTTTTAATACTGAATTTCACTCGTATGTCTTCCCTAAAAGCTATTTTCTATCAAATGAATCTCCTTCCTTTGGTCCTTTACATGTACACTCACTTACCAACATGCATATCCCATACTAACACAGATACACACCAACAGATACAGTTTTACCAAGCATAAAACTTGTAGTCTCTGCCATTATAATGAAGAACTTTCATTGTTCCATAAATTGCGTGACCCACAAAAACTACAGTCATTTTTAAAATTGAATAACTTACGTAAAAATATAAATATTTCCAACCCGTTTGCTTTATTCAACATGAATTTAAATTCGTAGTTGTTTAACAGTTGTGATTTGAATAAAGGACACAGAAAATAAACGTGTGCATTGACTGAAGTCAATGGAATCCTAATGTGTTGATTTGGTTTATAACTTTATTTAACTTATCAGTGGATTACATATGCAGAAACAACAGACTTATATCCCATTTTTCTTCGTTTTCTTCTTATGATACATAACATTTGGCATAGCCGCTATTTATAGTGATAGAAATTTAGGCTTTATTTCGTATTGATGGCATTATCTTTTATTATAAGCTTAAATATTTTAGGTGGTTTAAACAAAGAAACACACATCACGATTTTTACGAAAGTTATTCAATTTTAAAATACGCGGTCATTAATACACACTTGCGCAAATTAATTGAAACAAAACGAATAATTCCGTTATTATTTACTTTTTTCGTATTTTCCCAATGAAACATGACCCAATGCACATTCCACGAAGTCGTTCCTTGCAGATTGACCACAGATTCTCGGTCGGATTTAAATGAGTAGAGTTTCCGGGCCAGTCTATAGTACTTTGATTTGCTCATTGGTAAGTCTTACCAATGTGTTCGGGTAGCGTTATAATTTTCGTACGCTTCCTTATAGTAATGCCCATCACAGACAATGGCCGTAGGACAACTAATCCACAGTCGAGACAATAGTGTCTGAGTGTGATGAAAATCTGATACAATCATGGGTGACGCAATATTTTTCAAGGCCTAAAAACTTCATCATACACCCTGAAAATAGATTCATATTACTGCACACCATTGCAAATGATCTAATCTGAGGAAAAATAGAGATCGATTACACCCTGTCACTCCAATGGGTCTAAAACTGACCGTATGGTGAAAGAGAGGAAACTACAGCGGTTGTTTCAGTTAATTTGCACAAGAGTGTATATTCACGATATAGTAACACTTTAATAAACGGACGCAATAAAATAGCCGAAATAAGGAATGACAAACATGCATTGTTCTTCAAAAGACTTTTTATACCGATATATTCATACTTATCACAAATTTGTCCCACACAGTTAAATATATATATATATATATATATATATATATATATATATATATATATATATATATAACAAAGCAGTGTGAAAGGGGAGAAAATAGAGAGTCTTACTTGTAATATTTACCAACAGGAAAACAGGCAGGTTGGTGGTGTCATCTATGTCCCAGGGAAGACAATGTGGTTTATTTCTATTACTCTGGCCTTGTGACATCCGTCTTCTTCGCGGCCTACACAGCAACTAATGTGGACAGACATACCTTACTTCTATTCTTGATAAATAGCAGCTGGCGTAGGCTCTCTATGAAATAACAGTTTTTATTTTACAACTCCATAACAAAATTGGCCATCTGTTTTATAAAGTTTTAACAAATTCCTCAAATTTTACTTCCTTTTAGCCCCCAGTGAGGATCGAATTCACTATTCGGTTGAGATTGATCTAGCAAAATAAGCTTGCTAACCATTAGACCATATCGAAGTGCCTAAACATATAAATCGAATGAAATGCGTGCCTTAAAAAACCTTCGAAACAAATCAGGGATAATGAAACATCTTTATAAATACTAATCAAT